AAAAAATAGTTAAACCAGCACTCAACTTTGCATCTTTTATCTCATTATAAGTTCACCAAGTATCCTTTCCTTGTAAGTATACTAACAATCTTTTATGGTAATGTTATATCATGTATCAAGCAAATGGGGATCCCCAGGGGATCAGATGAAATAGTGATTATCTAATCTTGTATGGCGGTAACCTGGCCATCCGTTATGCGCAGGTAATAATGTACGAGAAACTACATAAGCAAGATAGAGAAAGAAGGAGAAAGATTTGTAGACTAGCGAGATATGACGCTTCCCCTCTCAGATCCCCTCCCCTTCCCGCGGTGATGTACGTGCATACGGGCCTAAAAAGTTATTTATCACAACCTCTTCTCCGACATTAAAAATTCCATAGTGGAGGAAAAACGAGTTATTTTTTGTCTTCCTCAATTCCCTCGAAGAAAAGCGTTTTTATCATCTTTTACCAATAAACTATGTTTTTTGATATTTAATTTCGGGTATTTGCCTTTTCAATGGATTCATGGAAGAACCTGATCTTTCCAAATACGGATCCTTGTGTGAGCTCAGCGAAAACCGTATTGTTATTCTCTCCGCCAACGACTTGAAGCACACCTTGATTGACAATATATATTTCTTTACTAGCGTCAATCTAAAAGCCAAAAATATGCCTTTTTTGGAAGTTTGCAGACTGTAAGATCTTATTGGGTAGTGAGAGCTTTTAGCCAAATTGGTGACTCTCAGCTACTGGAAACTAGAAGAAACCCGGAAAAAAATATTACTCTCAGTTTGAGTACGAGATCTTTCAAAAGGCTTGACCACAATTCTGATAAATTACTACTGTTTAGATGACAGAATAAAAAAATGAGGATTCACCTGGAATAGCTGCACTTTGCTGAGTGTTGTAGAGGACAGACAAAGCCAGATCCGTCTGCAGTTTGAGCAGAAGCTTAGTTTATATTTTTTTAAAAGAGTCCATCTTCGGAATTTTATAGACGAGAAGTGATACGAACCGAGAGTGTTCTGTTGCTCCCATGTGTAGGTAAAGCAGTCGCGAATGCGGTTGGTCAGCTCCTTTGGCACTCCCAAGCGCTTGTATTCTGACACAGGACCATGTGCATATTTCTGCGATAATTCTCTCGGGTTCGATTCGCATTGGGGATATGTCACGGATCTGATAGGAATAGAGCCAGACCGTGACAGATAAATTGAAAATCACTTGGAAAAATCTAAGCTTACCGATCCAAGCAAAAGAGCAAACACGAAGGCCCCATCATCCAGGAGCAGGTCGTAAACATACCTGAACTGAGTGGTTTCACATACCGAACCATTTTATGGAAGAGAATTCGATTTCGTTATGACGAAGATTCAATGCCAGTATATCCCGAGAAATTGTAGGACGTTCCGAAAGTAACTTCGCCTTTTTAAATGAACGCCACATCTCGGGAACAAGGATTTCTAACAAGGCAAGATATCTGTAGGACATTTTGGTAGCTTTCGGTGCAGGATATCCTTTTTTGATGGTTATGAAATTATTGCAAACACTCCGCCACACTCTATGCTGTAGTTACCTTTGAGACACTCTGTATATGCTATGGATATCAATTTCACAAATATTCGATGCTCATCGAGTTTTCGAATACTCTTAATGATAATGATGATTTATAATGATTTATTCGAATGATCGAATAATCATTCGATTAGGTCCAAAGTATAGTGCACAAAAGTGCTGTGATGATGTGTTGTGCATGTAGTATTTTATTATACTAATCCAAATTTTTTGCGACCAAACCGCTTTGGATTTTCTGCCGCACTTCCATAATGCTGTCAATTTGAACCGCGAGTTGATGTTCTACAATTACTAGTAACTTGAGCTTCAGCGTTTTAAGAGTTGCGCACGTGCCTCAGATCAATAAGTAAATCAGTCACAAATATGACGGAACGACTTGTTCTGATCATGATCGTTTTCCTTTTTGATAGTTTATAGTCGTTTGGTGGGAATCCATTTTCCCAATGCGCTACTATGATTTCAAGAGAGTGGTCCTGGTTTTGGCAATATTCTCATTTTATATCAAGAACGATATTGAGAAAGTTTTTGTCTAGAGTTCTCGCAAACAAAGTCACAAATCATCCTGGAAACTTATATGGCGACGTTCTTCGACAGCATGCACGCTGTACTGTCCAAAATATCATTTTGAGAGATCTGATATCTAAAAGCCTCTTCAGAGCGAATATCAAGCGCTCCGTCACCGCGAATGCAACTTTTCTAACAGGGCATACAACAATTCTTAGAAGAACGCTTTATTGTCAGCGATGAAATCTCCCACCATCGAATAATTGCTAGCCCTCCGGCCCTGGGGAGGGGAGAGGGGTGGATTCGAAGTATCAACAACAAATAAGCAAGCGAGTATATATAAGCTATCAAGGTAAAATTGCTTTGAATTATCGTGGATTGTGTCCGAGGTAGAGAAAGCGACCATGTGCAGGAGACTTCAGTAGTGTGAGCGGTACGGCTTCCTCTTCTTTTGTGAGGGTCGGAATCCTTGTGCTTTGAAGGGGCACAACAGCGAATGATGGCGCGAATGGCAACTGCGACACTCTGCTTCACACTCTTCGGAATGTTCTGCCTTCAAGCAGCATATGCACAAACCCATCTTCACTGCTTGTATGGCTCGCGGAACGGGCTCGGAATAGCGATTGCAGCGACCAGATGGTGGCCATCTGAATTTTCTTGTGATGGACAGAAGACGGGGGTAGATCTCTCCGCGATTGATGCGAGAGTACGTTCGATAGCAATTAAGCGGGTAGAAATAGCATCCACACAGCTTGTCAGCTTTTCGATCAACTTGAAGCAGTGGGCTTGGAGACTCAGCTGTCCAGAAGGTTGCTGGACTCTGCCACAGTGACATAGACAGGTGGGAATTTCCAACTCGCTGTTGTTTACCGACATATCACGGAACTTTCAGAATATCTGCAATTTGGTAGGATAAATTGGTACCTCGACAATCTATACGGAACAGTGACGGACAGAAAAGCGGTGATATAGACGGCTGGCGACTTGGCGCAAGCAGCGATAGCGACGACTTCAGAACTTGGCATCCAGGGTCTTTTATACAGCCCAGTTGGGCGTGTATAACCTGGATACCAAATTCTGGCATACGATGGTATCATTGCAATGTGAAGTTTGCCTACACGAAAGTAGGCGCCGCCAAGTGCATTATCAAGGGCCATGAGAATGACCTACGGCTGGGGTGCATGGACAATCTAGAAGTTTGTCCATGGCAGAAGGAATAACATATATATAGTTATTGCAGATTAAAAAAAGGTGTTCATGCTTGTTATTAACGACATCGGGAACGAATACATAATGTGTTTCGAATATAGTTTGCACCTCTGCGAAGCGATAAGTTGGCACAGTGTTTCGGCTGCACCAGTGTCACTATTAGGGCAACTTTTTTTGGAGCTCACAACAGGTCGCTAGAAGGGAGTGAATACTGAATGGGAATGTTACCGTTTTTCTGGTCCACTTGACCCATACCCGCCTTCTTCACTATGCTTGATTTACGGGTAGGGCTTGTTCGGCACCGATATGCAGCAGTTGGCCGAACAGATGCTTAGAAATGTGGTGAGCAATGACAATAGATCATCTTAACCAGATATCTCACAGTCAGATCTTGCAGAACTAAAGTCCGTCTCCTCACTGTGTTCGGTTTGAACTCATTTTGCTATGAATCCAGCATTGGTAAAGAAGAAAGGAGAGGAAGAACTTTGGGAACGACTTTCAAGTTTTACGAAAGTGAATTTCGTGAGGGTTGACGTGTATGTTACTGAGGGGTTTTCATTTTCAGAAAACCAAGTTGGCGTTTACAGGTCATTTCTAAGAAAGCTTAGAGTTTTTGAAAAATCATGTTGCTCTGCGGAAGAAGTGTTTCTAAAAAGGTTTTATCACGTCTTCTGGAAGGAACGTCCTGCCTTTTTCCTTTTGAAAACCTGTGTTGATTCGGTTATCAGTAGATCTTTCACAAGAAAAAAACCAACTTATTTGTTGGCGAGAGATTCCAACTTTTGAATCCAAGCATGAAAAAAAGAATCTTATGCAAGTGTAATGCTGACAAGGGAATGGTCAGAAGTCGAAGTGGCCAAATCAAAGAAGCTGTATATCATTCGATGCAGTATAAAACGCTGACTTCGAATCTGTCTTCCTTATCTGCTTCCCGCTTCTGTGGACTAAGCTACAAGCAATTTTATTGTGAAAAAATCATACATGAAAACAGCGAAATTGAGCACACTGTTGCACTTTTAGCTCTGCTTCTGGCTTCAAAAATTTCAAGCTAGCTGCATGTTTTGGCCCAGCATTGTGGCGAACGTGACTCTGTAAGGAAGACAGATTTAGAGTCATGCTGCATCTAACGGTACGCAGCTTGCCTGGAATGGCCACTTCGATTTCTGACCATTCCCTTGTGAGTGATAGATCTAATGTAGTGCTAACAATAGAAAAAATACTTGATGACTGTGGCCATTTGGCATAAGATGTGCAAGCTGATTTCAAATTTACAAAACGATCTATAAAAAAGAAGTTATGAACGTTTTTCTACCGAGGAAACCTCTGAAAAATCGAATTTATCAGTATTGATACAATTACTGCTTAAAGTTGTGAAACATGCTCTAAGGTAATGTGTTGCTCAATTCATACTGATCAATCGAAACTGGAGTTGATAAGGCAAGAAGGCTTAAGTATAATGATTTTGAACCTTTGCAACTGTGCGATTTATCTTCGAAAAAATTTATAACTTCATATCATCATTTTGCAATCTAGAAAATAGTTTTGGAACCAGCATTCAAAGTTGCACTTATTGATAAACATCTCATTGTAAGGTTACCAACTGCTCTCTCTTTGTAAATATCTGTACTATGAGTTACGTATTTATCAAGCAAGTAATCTTCCATAGCGGCTCCGACAATTATAAAAACTTCGTTAGTTCACTACAAATCTCACGTGTATTCGCCTATTTTGTTTACTCGTCTTTATCTTTTTCGAAAGCCTCATCGTCGTCATCTTCAGAGCATCCCTCAAACGCAGAATCATCCGACAGGTCTTCGTTTTGGAGAGTGGACCAAGGATATGCGGAATGACGTCGTCTTTTCTCTGAATTTCAAGGAAATGAGTAAATTAGAAAAGCGGAACCAGTTGAGTAGAGGACCTCCGATGTTGATAGCCTGCTTCAACTGTGCTGCAACAGGTTTTTCTGGACTGAGCACACTAGCGACAACTTTGAGCATTCGAGGAGTACCAAGGCCAGAAAGACGGCAAGTCTCTTCCAGGCCTTTCTCTTCCACCGTCGTTGTTTCCGTCTTCTTGTCATTTTTCAACATTTGCCTGAAGCAGAGTAGGAATGATGAACTATGAGCACATGCTGCGAACTCACGCTGCTTTTCGTTTGAGAAGAATTTGAGCCTGAGGATAGTATTTGATGACATCGTTCAGATCTTCCTTGGCTAGAACGAATAAGGTGGCATAGCCCTTTGCGCGAATCGACGCAGTTCTGCGATTGTTGCCACCAATAGCCAACAGACTAGAAAAAAGCTACCTTATTCCTCTAATTACAACTTCTAAAACCGCTTGTGAAAGAAAGAAAGATATCCGATACTGAAGCTTATCTCCCCCCCCCCCATTTCTCCCATTTCTCCCATCTCCCCTTGGCACAAGCAGAAGACAAACCTGGATAGTTTATAAAAACAAAGGCGTTTCTCATTGCCTGGATCCTGGATAAGCATAATTTGGTAATGTTATTGCAACAATAAACGTGAAATACCCGTATTTTCACCCTGAACTTCTTTTTTGCCTTTTTAACGTATTTTCACACCGCATTTGCAAACGAATAAGAATCTAATTCTTTGTCTAATTGTAAGCATAGAAGAAAGAAATGCTTCTGACATCATGAGATAAGTTCTTCATAAAATTTATCTAATAATGATGTAGAGTAAAACCTAATCTCTCCAAATACGGATCCTTGAGTGAGCTCGGCAAAAACAGTATTGTTATTCTCTCCTCCGACAACTTGGAGCACACCTTGATTGACTATGTACATCTCTTTGCCAACGTCACCCTGAAAATCAGAGGTAATACGCATTTTTTGAAAATTGCCCGCGATACGTTCTTAGCTGATAGTGAAAGTCTTTTCATCATTTCGAGTGTTAACGTCTGGAAAATGATTGTTAAACTCGCCTTCTTACATATCATATCCCCTGGAAGAAATATCACTGGTCGCAGTTTGAGTACGAGATCCCTCAAAAGTGCTCGATCACAATCCTGAAAATTATCGTTCAATTATATGGGGTGTAAAAGAAGCAGATCGACCTGGAAAAGCTGCACTTTGCTGAGAGTGTTGTAGTGGACCGACAAAGCCAGATCCGTCTGCAATTTGAGCGGAAGCTTTTCAATCAGTTTCTTTTCATCTGAAAACAAATTTTCAAACGAAATCACATGGTAGAATTTTGGAACCAAGAGTTTTTTGCTGCTCCCATGTGTAGATGAACCAGTCGCGAACGCGGTTGGTCAGCTCCTTCGGCAGACCCAAACGTTTGCATTCTGATAGAGCCATGTCCATCTTTCTGCGATATTCCTCCCTAGTTCGATTCGCATTGGAGACTATGTCGCGGATCTGATAGGGAAGTTTGAAAGTAGAATCGCAAAACAGAAAATCGTGCTCAGTACCTGTCCAAGCAAAAGAGCGAACACGAACACTCCCATCATCCAGGAGCACGTCATGTAGACATACCTGGAATGAGTGAAACCACATAGAGCATAAATCTTTCTGTAAATTTTAAGATCGTTAAAAACACGAGAAGAGTTAATGCTTATGTAGATCTTGAAAATTGAAATTAACAATAAATCATGTTTTGACTTAGTTTGATTTTTCTATTTCCTTTTTGAAACAAAAGAAACTACTTCCGATATGATCGGAAATCTAGCAGTGATTAGCGTTAATAAGTTAGATGACAGAGTTCTTTGAAACCGTAACCCTTCGGCGCATTCAATAAAGTTTTTTTTCGCATTCGTTCACTAATACATGATAATCTACGGGGACAGCACTACTGACCCATGTTTACTTGAATCGTCCATGTGTGTTCTTCGCTGAGTTATACCACTACGAATACCCGTCCTCACACAAAAATCGAGCAGATTGAAAACAGAATAGTACGAGAGTGCAATATATCAGAAGATTCGTCTTGACGAGCTGAGCATCATGCTTTCTTCGGATTTGTATTTTATGCAATTTGAAGGAAGTTATGAAGAAAAAACGAAAAAAAAACGCGGATCGTCAGTTTTTGTGTTTTCTGTCGAATAATTAGTTTGGTACTGTAGTGTATGTAGGCTAGGCTAGTTTGACTCGTATTTTTTTATGTGGCTGATAGTTGCTTTGACTCAGAACAATAATTTTGCAAGGGTGTTACTTATGTTAGTTACTTATGCTTGGGCACGCATAAGTGCTTATGATGTTATGAACGAGTTAGCAAATGGTTTAGTAAATAAGTGAATTGCTCAGATGCGCCAAGTAAATGTTGTGGTAAACTCTGGGATACATTTGTATAATAGCTCAGTGCTAGCTCATTAAGGGGCAGGAATTGATTGATGGTGCCATCAAAAAAATTCGTTTTTCAACATTTTTGAGATAAAATATCTCTACAAACTAACAATAAGATCCCGAGAAAGAAACGAGATTAGTGACCGTGACCATTCATAACCACCTAATTCCTAATGGTGCCTAGACGTGAATTCAATTGATTTAAGATCTACATTTTGTATTGGCGGAAAGATCTCTTGAATGAAGATTATAATCGCTTGTCCAAGGAGTAAATTGCCCCAACGTGAAGGCTATTTATCATTCAAGTATAATCGAATGTGGTCTGCTCTCAAAGGTAGATTACTTTATTGTATGGCAGAAGTAAATTGACCAAACGAATGGCTTTGATACAGGAAAAGCTTGTTACTTTGTAAATCGTTTAGATCAAGATTTTTAGATTTTTTATCAATCAAATTTTCTTATGGTGCACATTTCTTCGAAACGGCTACCGCTGTGAATTATTCGTTTCTTTCAAGAATTAGAGTAAAACTCACTCAATTACGTTTGTCGGGGCTGGGTTGTTTCCAGTTGAGGTTGCAACAGCTGCGGTAAAGTAGAAGCATCGGATGTATGCATTTCCTAAAAAATTTTCCCTTATGTTATTAGGGAGTGAGAATGAGTGCTCACCTTGATTATTGTACACCCATTTATTCAAATACCATTTGCCATTCTCATGATATGCAATCTGTCCGAATGCCTGCCAAGCACTCAGCAGATAGTAAATACAGCTATTGCAGTGAATGATGTAGATCATATAGGACAGCGTGCGAGTTACTCTACAAAAACTCGTATTATGGGGTGTTTCTCAATAAACTTTCCGAAAATTTATGGTACCGAATGACCGAGGGAGATGAGAAGGAGTTGTCTAATAAGTCAAATAGCTGCCAGAATGAAGGAATCTGGAATAAACACGGAGTGAATTTGCTTCGCTACATCTCATTAATACCTTTGTGAGCTTGTTCAGTCTCCATATCGGAGTAGGTCCCGTATATACGTAGATGAAATCTGTAGGGATTATCGCAATAAGGTCCAGCTTGAACACGGAGCTCATTAGATAGTGCTTCAATGTCTGATCGCGTGCTTTCTGGAAGAATAAAATGGAGTTTTTGGGACAAGATGACACTTTTTACTGGTAATTCATTTTTATGGGCTGAGATACAGGCAGACACTAGACGTTTTTTTTCTTGAAAATCTCTTGATCTCTCAGTCACTATTCAGCTTCTTCTGCAAATTTCACGTAATGACAGTAATAACCGGTTGCCGTGGTTCACATGGTCTATAACCAAACCTTTTTTCTACAACAAATTGTAAAATCTTGTCTTAATAATGTTTCTGTAATAGGTTACTCTTGCTGAATTGATTCAAACGACTTACCACAGAGATTCCTCCCTTCATAAACCGCAGTCTCGGCTTTATCAAAGTCATATCAATTAGATAGATAATGTCACACGTGTAGTCAATGATAAGCCAATAGATCAGGTTTGTCTTTGTTTGGTAAGGGTAAGAGCTTCTTAGAGGGATGCAGTATGCATTATAGAGGAAGGCTGCAGTGACCAAGAAGAGCCAACTCATATAGAAGCGACCTGGGGAAGAGAAAATGATTTCCAAAAACAATTTGCTTCTCGACATTTGAAACTGACCATAAGGATGGAGACTCTGTGGAAGCCAGAATCGGCTTCTCTTGTCGTCGTCATCTCGTTCTTCTTCTCCTCTCTTGAAAAAAATTGTGAGAGAAAATTCCTCCTTAGTACGTCTTTTTTGAGAGTCTTCGGTAAGTTTATGTTACCTGTAACCCAATCAGAGACATGAGGCTAGGTCGATGCTCTTCGACTGGCACCCCAACCGAGCTCACTGAATACGCATCTTCCGGTGTTTCTCGAATCAGACTCTCGCGTACTTCAGACGTTCGTCGTTGTACCTAGAGAAATCTGTATTATATTATTATGATAATTTAACTTCCATTGAAATTCGGGGAGTGAAGATAAATGCTGACTAATAGTAACCAATAGGACAAGAGCTCCATGAAAAATTCTACATCTACGTAGTGCATTCATAATTTAGTATATGGTTGGCATAAGTATTATAAAAGTGGCAAACTGAATTTCGATGTTTCTTTTCCAGCACAGATATCGAAGCAGTGGCTCGTAAGTTTACCTCTTTTGCCATTGTATGAAGCCTTTCTCTCATTATGAATGAAAGATTCGATGCCACATCATCATCCTTAACACTTTTCACGGAAGGAGACGGAGGCGGGAACGATCCCTCGAAGTCCAAGTTGGCTAGAAAATCTCTGTTGAATAAAAAAAAGTGACAACGCTGGAGTAAAGTGAAATCGTGGAGCAAAACTTTCATTAGCAAAAACTGGCTTTCATCGATACTTGAAAAGTTGAATCTCCGACGCACAAGAGCGCGATCCTAATGCAACTTATTGTTAGATGCGATTTCTGTCCTCGAACTGCTTAAAGTTTTTTCTGCATATTCGCTCAGATAATGGTTTGCACTCTCAACTGAGTTGTTGAATCATACTAGAGTTTTTTTTTTGAATCGTCGCTTACGTATTTGAAACCCATCTTCATCCTCGACCTGGATGGCGATCGATGGCAATGGAGGCGGTGCGCGATAGGACGCGATTGACGAGCTGAAAATCAGTATCAGATTTTTCCAAGCAACATTTTCTTCGAAGAAAAACATTCGAATGACCTTTCGGTACTCCTCGGGCTGTATTCCTCAACTGAATCTTCAAGTTTTTGCGGTTGTGACTGTTTCTGGAAACAGAAGAAAATTGGTTTACAACTCTATGAAAAAACCTCGTCCATGGCTTACGTGTCTGTCGAGTACGAGGAATCGTCGGTGACGCACGCGATCGGACATGGAGTCTTGTGGACGATCCATCTTTACTTTCTAGACTTCTTTTAGAGAAAACTCTTTGTGTTTCACGTGCAGCTGCAAAAAGCAAGAAGATAATACCATTAACAATAGCGATAATTACCATGAAACCTCATATAACTAGTCTTTACATTCTAACATTTCATTCAGCTGGAAAAGATTTGTTTCTAAGCTTCAAAGTTCTTACTATTGAATCAATCAGGTTATTGTCAGCTAATATACAACTCGATGTAGATAAGAATTTGCAAGTAACTGAGCATAATACTTATGCTTTTCTTTTTGCGAAATGCGTGAATTGGAAGGAGAAATTCCTGCGAGGATGAGCTCGCTATCTTCGATTATCATGGCGGTTTCCACGGCAACCGTGCGAAGACGCTTAGATGGTCTGCTGGGTCTCCAGAATTTGATTAGAGTATCATGTGCTGGATAATGAATCTACGAAAACATGTTCTAATACATATGGAATGTACCCAGCAGTAATTTCTCCAGAAAAAGGATTGTTTAATTGCTGCAGTCGATAAAGCAAATCCTGCTGACTATAATCTTCAAAGCTACAAGTGGGATTTTTCAAATGAAATGTGCCGTCTTAATGACACGTAATCCTTGTATTTACGAAGAAATGATTAGTCAGACGTTCGTTTACCACCACCTAGTGATGAAAGGTCGCAGGAACACCCGTATGATTCTATGATGAGATTGGCAGTCTTAAGAATTCCATTTATTACTGTAATTATCTACACTTTTCTATATGTATCCTAAAATCTTACAGATAAGTCCGCTTTTTTGACGAGAAAAATCGATGAAAATGCACCCTCGCACCGCCAATCTCCTCATCAGTAAAATGAATTGTCGGTTTGTCTGTGTGTCTGTACGTATGTTCCCTGCAGAGCGCATCTCTAACCACTCAGACAATCGACGGGACCCCTCCGCCGGACCCTCCGAAACTGCCAGAGTCGCGCCGGACCCAGTTGACCAATGAGAGAAGGGCAAATGGGCGGTCCATCGCGGTGACATCACTGGCAGGCAAATGGGAGGCTTCTCCGGCCCTGCTGCAAAGGTCCGCCATTTCTCCGGCGCGACTCTGCCAGATTTGGCGGACTCCGCGCCGGAGAAATTTGCGCGGCGCGTGTCCGCCAAATTTGGAAGAGCCGCGCCGGAGAAAATGGGAGGGGTCCGGAGCAGAAATGGGAGGCCTCCGGAGCAGAAAATGGGAGGTATCCGGAGCAGAAAATGGGAGGTATCCGGAGCAGAAAATGGGAGGTATCCGGAGCAGAAATGGGAGGTCTCCGCCGGAGAAATGGGAGGGCTCCGCCGGACAAATGGGAGACCCACCGCTGGGGAAACGCCGCGACCCTGCCATTTCTCCGGCGGAGGGGTCCTATCCGCTGCCTGAGCAATCCAGGGTAATCTTTGCACGTGACTTCCAGGCGAGGCGGGTGTCGTAGGCTAATTTTCGTCCTCATGTCGATTTTATCAATTACTAGCTGGCTTACCCGGCTCCGCCGTATGTTCCGAATAGAAAATTCCATTTCTTAACCGATCCGGACCAAACTTGGCACACATACACTTCGGGCCCCGGCGGGTGTCACGGTCCACTTTTCGCTATCGATCGATGTCGATTTTATCGATTTTTTGCAAAAATTTGAGCTAGGGGGCTGGAATTTGGCAGGGGGGTGTAATCGAGCATGCTGATCACCCCCACGGGGGTGATCAGCATGCTCGATTACCCCCCTGTGCCAACTCTCAGCCCCGTAGCTCAAATTTTGCAAAAAATCGATAAAATCGACATCGATCGATAGCGAAAAGTGGACCATGACACCCGCCGGGGCCCAAAGTGTATGTGTGCCAAGTTTGGTCCCGATCGGTTCAGAAATGGAATTTTCTATTCGGAACATACGTACAGACAGACAGACAGACAGACAGACATACAAACAGACATTCAGCTTTATATATAAGATTCGCAAACTTCGAGCTAGGGCTGCGAGAGAGGGTGAGGGTGTAGAATACGAATACAATATTAGTTCTCAAAATATCATTTACCTTCACCGCGTCTATCGATTTTTTGCAAACTTTGAGCTACAGGGGTTGAGAGTTGGCACGGAGGTAAACGAGTATGCCGTTGCAGAACTATCGCTCTATATACAGAGTGTCCCAAAAAGATGTGTACACTATTTGATCGTTAATAACTCTCTTGCTTTCATATCTTTTGCCGAGCTTGAGGTACCATTCTGTAGGGCGAGGATAAACTTAGATTTACAGCATGGAGCCAATCACTAATCAGTCTTCATTACTGTAGGACCACGGTATCAACTTTCAGCATACAGCGCCACTGTAGAACAGACCTTTTGACGAAATAATTTTAAAAAATCGGAAAATTTGTGTAGCAAGGTTTTCAAGCGTGCTGATTTCACTACATAACATTTCACCAATTTTTCGAGCTTTCTTGATGGCGTATTCACATTTGTGAAGGGCATTGGAAACACTTTTCACTATAACTCTGAAATAACTTATGAAAGAAGCACTATACTAAAGTGCAAACTTCATATTCAGAATCAGCGCCTTCGATTAGCCCAGTGCGAGAGTTCGGGCTTGTTTGGCTTTCTTTCCGAGGCAAAATACCGCCTTTAATGGCTCAAAATCCTTCTCGAAGCTACCGTAATCCTACAGTAATAAAGAGCGGCTGATAATTCGCTCCATACTGAAAATTTAAGTTGAACCTCGCTCCAAAGAAATGTACCTTAAACTCGGCAAAAGACATGAAAGCAAGAGGGTTATTAACGATCAAACAGTGTGCGCAGCCTTTTGGGACACTCTGTATATACTAGCGACCCTACGGGTCGCTAGCAAGTGGGTCGGGGCAGATACAATACAGGGTGTCCCAAAAAAATGTATCGAACGTTTGATCGCTAATATCTCTCTTCTAAAGAAGTCTTTTCTCTTGCTTCAGGTACCAATCTGTAGAGCTGGCTTCAACTTAGATTTGCATTATAGAACGAGTCACTCATTTCTCTTCATTACTGTAGGATTACGGTAGAAACTTCAAAGAGGGTGTTAAGCAATGAAAGGGGCCATATTTTGCCTCAGAAAGGAAACAAAAGAGCCTGAAAGCTTTTACATAGGCTAATTAGAGTTGCTGATTATAACTGTAAAGTTCCCAACTTATTATGATGCTTCATTGAAGAGTTATGCCAGGTAAGAGGTAGCGGCCTTTTTTCAATGTTCTTGAAAAGTGCGGTTAAACCGTTTAGAAAACTTCGTAATCTTGTGAATAGTTGAAGACTGAACTCAGCGTCCATAAAAACCCTATTACACAAGTTTTCACAATTTTTTGAAAAATTTTGAAACGGCAGCTTTTTCCACATTGACACCATATGTTTCAAGTTTCTACCGTAATCCTACAGTAATGAAGAAAGATGGGTGATTCATTCTACAATGCAAATCTAAGTTGAAGCCAGCTCTACAAAACGGTACCTGAAGCAAGGCAAAAGACTTCATGGGAAGAGAGATATTCGATCAAACGTTCGATACATTTTTTTGAGACACCCTGTATAAGGGCTTAGTTGTGACTATAAATTTTTCTAAATAAGTTTCCTATTCCTTTCCTGAGAACATTTTTGCGAAGAGCATTCTACAAAAGGAGAACTGCTTGAAGAGTCGACAATCTCCACAAATCATTCAGCGTTTCTCGAATTTCCCGCTACAATCATGCATGGAGAATATTATTTTTCTCTCGTTTGTCATGTTCTTTCTACAATTTCACCTCCTCACAGAGACCAGATAAAAAACCTCCCACTTTTCTACCATCTCAAGGAGAATTTGCTCCAGTTCTTCTCAACAAGTTCCCTAAAAGATTGTTAAGTAAGTACTAAAACACCTATCGGTTTGGAAATAGAAATACACCCATAACAATTATGTGTACTACAAAAAACCCTTTTCTCTCAGAATCAATTCCGACGACAACGAAATCAATTGTCTAAGAGCTTTGTCAGAGAATCCTTCAATTTTTTCGCCAAAAGAATATGAAGCTTGACTACAAAAGGAGATCCCTCCCCGAAAAGCACAACTACTGAACCACCTAAAGACCGTCAATCATAAGAACTGCACAAACGTGCAGAAAATTTGTTTCCCTGTCCGATCAAATTGCCCTACATGCTGCTTACAAACAATATTATCTATCTGAAAGACAGTTCATGCCCTACGTCCCGCTCCCGGACCGTTTGAAAATTATAAGAACTGCCCAAACGTACAAAAATCTGTCCCGTCCCGATCGAGTTGCCCTGCCGCTTACAAACCGATAGTAACTATTCAAAAGAATGTTTATGCCCTATGTGCCGCTTGAAGACCGTATATATTTAAAAACCAACCTTACGTCTCTTCTGAAAGAAAACAACGAAATCAAGTATTTACAGCGATTCTCAAGCTGATACATGCCATTTTGGACTTTCAATTCTGAGAACTGCCTAAACGTACAAAAATCTGTTTCCCTGCCCGATCGAGTTGCCTTACGTGCCGCTTACACTCCGATACCTATTTGAAAGCACCAGCGGGACCCAGTTACATAAGCAAAAGCAAGACTGTTGTTAGATAAACGCTTCCGAAAGTATCACCGAGACCAAGTTACTTACGCACTCTCTTGTCTACGCGCAGAAGCAAGATAGTCCAAAAGTAACTGTTCTTAGTTAGAGCATTTTTACCAAGAGTTGAGAACACAGATGAATTTAGCTCAAGTCACGCTGTTACGCAATTTGGCATCATTTCAAAAGCAGGGTACAACATATTTGAAAGACACATTCTGGGATAACAAGCTCGAAAAAAAAGCGGGTACAAATAAAACACCCGGGCACTGGCGACCCAGTCTTAAAATCATTGCGGAACTCATGATTGCCTTTCGAAATGCGTGTGACCCTTTAATGAAAATATGCTTGGTCACTCGTTATGAAATTTGGCAGCGTTCCAAAACGCATGCCACTTGGCAGCAATCCAAGAATGAACATTTGCACATTTCATCATAATTTCTCCGCCTGCTGTATCATCGTTTGCCGTGTTCCACGGATCAGGGGTGACCAAGTGGTAAACAACGATTCCAAATTATATTACGTAGTGTAAATAGAAGTATATATCTGTATATGTCCGGTAGGTAAACCTACACTTATTCTTTTCCTTTTCTTTTTGCCTTTTCCCATTATCACTTGTGTAATACAGTACGCATTCTTCATTCCCATACTCTTTGCTTACAGATGGCACAACGATAGCTCGCCGCGCAACGATGCCAAGTAGAGGAGGAGTCTGGCGAATCAGTGAAGAACCTACGACCAGCGAGCCACCACGTCTTTGGGCTCCAATCTCTCATTCTTGTTGTGTTTCTGTTATTTTGTATTACCGGCTTGACTATTTGCGAGTTGTTCATGTTCATTGAGATAAACACATCTTGTAAGATTATGTTAGGCGCACCTTGAGGCGTTCCTTCGCGTCAATATGGTAGCGTTCATGTAAGAGGGTGACACGATATCCATAAGTGTAGGTAGTGATAGACTGCAATCAGAGTGTTTCGTAACCATTCATGACGATATTTGCTTAAAGAATGCGATCTTCAAGTTTTGGACGATATTCACGAGGTGAGAGTACTAAGCTCATAATTCGGCTAAAAACACGATAACGATTTGGCTTGAGCATGTTCCGATAGCACTGTTTCTAGTGATTTTGAGTTATAAGAGGGAGCAGGTAAGTTGTCCAACAAATATGCGAAAAGTGCAGGCAAATTTAGGAACTTGCATGGTATCGCAGCATTTCTCTCAGCATAGCTCGCTAAAGGAGTTTACGGTGCACAAAGAGCATCATTTCATCAGCGGGTATGAAAACTTTTATGGGTGAAGTCTACAACCCAAGACCATCAATATTCCAGGCACAACCCCTCGGTGAGCTTCAAAAGCCTGCAACGAGAAAACCAAGGGGCCTGAATTTCTTGGAAAACTGCGCATGGAGGTTATCAAGCCTGCTGACTACGCAAAACAAACCTGCTTTGCAAAACCTGCTTTGCAAATTATCGTCTTAATGTAGGGTTACGGTAGGTAAAGATTAAGAGACGTGAATATTTTCGAAATCCACCTGCCTATCTTTCTCTTTGAAAAGAGATCTTCGATTAATCTCTAACATGATGATCTACTGAACAACTCTACCGGAATCTGCTTACTAGCGTTTTCCATGTTATAAAGAAAAAACAAAAAAAAGCGGATTGTTAGCTTTGCGTTTTCTGTCGAATAATTGATGTGATTACTGTACTATCGCATACATTTGAAGCGTTTATTATCTGCCACCAACAAATCACGACTCTTATCGGCGACAGAAAAGTCTGATATTACAACGGTTATCGGCCTCGAACTTCATGAAATCCTGAAAAACTATGTTTTAGTTATGATAGGAAAGTGTGTATCTTTTACGCTTACGATGAGAAATGTTGCTCCTAGTAGAACCGCTTTCACCTTCACATCGAGATTTACTGGGACTATAATTGAATATTTTGGTTTATTATAATACCTCAAATCGTCGGCTTTCTTACAGTATGACCCAACGCAATTTGCTATGACACTAAGCAAGCTTACATAGTATTTTGAAAGGACTTAAAATGGATGCTAAGCTTCTAGAAGCATCTGCTAACCAACGAGAATTAATGTTTGACCAGAAAAATCTTGTTTCTTTCACCTTTCGAATTTTCTCAAGGAAATGATTATCGCAAGTGTGTGTTAGTATGTTTTATATTATTCTCAAGCCTTTATAATACTACCAAAGCTTCATCTCTGCTTCGCAAAGGCTCGCTTGTCCATCATGGAAAGTGTTAGAGTAAACTTATGTTCTACTGCCTTGTTTCTCGCACCCTTCAAAGTTGCGTGAAGCGAGACCCATAGTTGAAAAAAAACCCTCGCTATTAGATATCACATGCTTAAAGTAATGTATTATAAATCATTATCGTTGTAACTCCGTAACGGACAAACTCCGCACAGCTTCAGATTTAGCGGCTTATTACAAGTTATGATCAGTATTACTGCGACAATTTTGCAGATAGCGTAATTTAATTGCAAGACGAAGAACAACCTGATATTGGTTTATGTCGAACACAGCAATTTTTATCGTAAGGTTGACAAACTTACATGTTACGCTGTACTCGTCTGCATCGGTAAAAGCCTCACGACAGCAACCACCCCACTTTTTCATAATGCTTCCCACGCTTTCCCCATCAATTTTGTCCACCTGTAAATTTAGAGCATGAATTGTTTAGACTTCTTTGCATTTAGTATCACCAACAGGAAATGTCTTATCCTGGCAAGTACAATGTAGTATCAAACAACAGGGAGAATGCACTTGCATGATCGCTTCACCGTCTGCATCTTTCACGACCAAGCAAGTATGACAGCAAAACCCTTGTTGCTCGACTCTGCCAATCTAGATCATCCGATATCATGTGAGATTAGCAGGATGAGCGCAAAAATATTCACACCACATTCCCTGGCGGCGACTCGACTGTGCATTTTGTTCGACATAATCCTAGCCTGGGAAGAAGGCCAAAACAAGCTGTAAATTTACTTGCGTAGGGAATGATGGAAAGCACCAGCAAAAATACACTGCTTGCTAGTCTCTTAAGTTGTAATACACTTGACAGAAGCAGGAGAGGAAAGCGATGGTAGATTTCCGTAAAGGCATCACCAAAAAATGAATAAAGTAAAAATAACAATTGCACTGCTAACAAGAAGTTAGGCTCTTATAGGAACCGATTATTCATGAGAATGACTATACGTAAATATTTTTACCTTTACCACAGCAGTTGAGTGGACGTCGTATGAGCAAGATCTCCTAAAATGGAGAAGTAAATATCTCAGATAATCGTTTTCCGGTCGCGTACCACGAATTAGCTTTTGTTAAAAGCGCAAGTCTATAAGACATGTTGAGCTTCGCACGCTGAAACGCGGTACGACGGATTTTTTCGGAAATATAGCTAAAGCGGAGTGCTATGGTTTTTGAGTTCCGCCAATTTTCAATGATACATTTAAGTTACTGAGCCTGATAGATGCAGATATGATAAAAAAAACCATGGCTTTTACTTACGTCTTCTTTTTATTTCTCCTCTTTCAAATTTTTCAATTGCTTTTTTGAGTTTTGGTTGAGGTTTGCTGACTTAGCAAAACTCCGTACTTGCAAACCAGAAAAGCAGAAAAAGTGGGAAGGGGTACTTGGTGACCGCGGCCTTTCGATATGTGACGTATGACATGACATTGACCTTGAAACATTGATTTCAAAACTGTGTTCGTTATCTGCGGGACGATATCTGGAACGGTTCCAGCTGGGTGCCAGCTGAGCTGAAACCGACCCTTTGCTCATAGAATTTTTCATACTTTTTTACACGAATTGTATCTTCACGGTAAAATTTTCGCACAGTGGAGGGTTTCATTAACTTTCTCTAGGCTGTTGTATAGCCCTAAAAAGGGTCTAAAACAGCCCCTAAGCAAATCAAATCTTTCATTTTTACTGAGTGCTCGGTGCCTTCACCTTTGAATCTGTTTTCCTCTCTTTTGTTGTGTTGTGCTCCTTCGTTTATCTCATTTGCAGTGTGCTTGGGAGGGCAAGGCGGAGGGCTAAAGAGGGAGAGAGAGAGAATGGAAGTGAAGGGTGGGGGGCGGGAGGGTAGTTTTTTTGTTTATTCCTTTGTTTGTTTTTTGTCACTACTCTGGGTAGTGCGCAACCTAACCCAGAATGCGGACAAAAGGCCAAGTGGAGAGGAGTGAGGAGGCAAAAAAGGGTCCAAGGTTACTTCGTGCAAATTTTCGAAATCAAAGGGGAATTCGTTCTAAGATTTCTCTGGTTGTAGCAGGTGCCGAGCCCTGGTGGTGGCAGATACATGGCTCGTTGTCATGAATAGCATCACATTAGGAGCCTGACGGGAGCATACTTTTTTACTGCTGCTTCGCGTCTAGATATCGCTTGCGGAAATTGCGGGCAGAATTTGAGTCATGGCCCGTATCCGCCATATGAGTTCATTCAGATGGTCACAGTCATGATTACCTTCCTTTACCGCTCATCGCCCTTCTTGAGAATAAATCAAAACCCCCTCAATGAAACCATGAATGTTATTTAATTCAATAACAAATTTTACACGGTTGAGGAGTCATTTAGGGACGGAACTCACACCATGAAGCTGTCCACTAGAGGAAATGGATCAAAAATATGGATTTTGACTTTGAAGCTCTCCCGGAAAAAAGAAGGAATCCAAAGAAGTCGCAAATTTGACGGTGGAGCTGACCCAAATAAGCCACTAGTTTCGAACATTGATAAAAACATTCTTTACACTACTTCTAACTAACCTAACATAAACGAACGGGCTTTACGGGCTTTCAGTTTCGCAGCTCAAGACACTTTTGAAGGCGTGTTCACAATGCAATATCTATCTTTAGATGGTCTGGGAGGTACTTTGCGCAGATTAGAGGGTTAGCCATGGACAAAGGTTAGCTCCAACACTTGCGGTGGCCTTCGTGGCCAAGATCGAGGCTCCAGTCCTAGAATGCCGTCCGTTGCTATATTGCAGATACATTGACGAGTGTTTCATAATCTGTTCGACTCAGGCAGAGATTGACAGTTGTTTCAAGATACTTAACGAGCAATCTGCATACATCAAGCTCACGAGGGAAAAGCCCAGCGAGCAATGGCTACCATTTTTGAACGTGCAGGTCAATATCGCTTCAGGTGTACACGTAACAAAATGGTACCGGAAACCCAGTAACAAAAACATCTTGGTACACTTCCGCTCAGCTCATCCCTCACATATGAAGAGAGCTGTAATAAAAAGTATGTTTCGTACAGCCTCTCGCGTTTGCAGCGGACAGCAGGAAAGAGCAGAATCTCTTGCGCTGGCTCGTAGAATAACGGCTTCTAGCGGCTATGAAGATCATGCTGGAAGGGCAAGGCGGCGTGGAACACATGATGCTCAAGTAAATAGACCTAATATAACTGATAAGATCCCCTTCAGCGTTCCCTATATCTCCGATGAAGTTAGCATTGCCTTAAGGCAGTGTCTGAGGAGATGCGGGTTAGAAAACTCTGTTGCGATGGTGGAGATACCCCAAATAACCTAAAAAGTATTTTGGTCCGCAATCGCATCTACGATCGCACCTGCACAACGCCTAATTGCATTATCTGCCCTGCGGGCAGGGGCGGGGATTGCATGACGTTAGGGGTCATCTACCTTATCACCTGCGCGGGCTGCGGCGACATGTACATCGGTGAAACGGCGCGCCCTCTATGCGTCCGCATTAAAGAGCATTTAGACGGCAGGGACAGATCACGCACGACCACACCTTTAGGCACTCACAGTCTGGTGAAGCACGCTGGAGAAAACTTTGAAGTTTCAGTGAAGATCTTAGCGCATGAATCCCAAACATCAGCCCGCAAATGTTTGGAAGCCTTTTGGATTCACGCAAAAAGTCCACAAATGAATCGCAAGGAGGAGTGCCTCTCTATCACTCGTGAACTCGCACCTTACCTAGGTCACCTCTTTGACTCACTGTAGGCGTATAAATAGCGTGGCATACATGGTCATTTATTAGCGCTCGCTCAGGCACTTGTATGCTACCGGCATTTTCAAAAAGGTAAGCGTTTGGTTTGGCAGTCTAGTTAGTGAACAGGCAGAGTCTTAGAACTTTGCTTGTGGAGCTGGCAGAGACGTTTGATCGGATAGTTTGCAGATCGTTTTGCCCATTCCAGGCTCTGAAGAAGGCGATCTGCCGAAACGTCAGCCACCCAATCAATATTATTACCAATCTCGAGCGGCTTATATAAACAACTACAATAACCTAACATAGAATCAAATGGTTGTCTCATAACTAATAGACGCTTCTTTCAAGTTCAAATCAAGATAACTCTTTCCCAAAACTATCTTTCTGAGCATAATCAAAACTATTGAAAATAGCAAAACCTTAACTATACAAAGATTTTCCGAACCAAAAATTTCATTTTCCAAAAATGTATCAGGATGGCACGAACTTTGCTCATTATATACCCGGCAGTCGAGCAAAGAAGTGAAGTTTAGATTTTGCGAAACTTTTTTGCGAGAAATAGCGGAAAAAATGAAGGCACCCAAGTTTTCAGCATTTTGGATTGGACTTTTCTACTTTTTCTCTTTGAAAAATCGGAAAACTCTGCCGTTTTTCTATCATTAATTGTAGTATGTCCGTTCTCGTTGCACAGGGCGAAAGTTGAGCCATTGCTTTTCGCATAAGATTTTTTATGCAGCATAGATGAGACTGAGCGATGAGCGAAGTTCGAAGCAAAATTTCTCAGCCCAGAATTATTCGAAAATCTAATAATGTTAAGCGTTCTGTAGCGCACTACTTCGCAATCGTTACGCATATTATTTGATACAAACCTGATCATTTTTCATAGATTTAGGGTAAAGAGAGCAAAAGGAAAGAATTTCGAGTTTTGGTCATTCAGGTTTGAAGGCATGGAACTCCTTTCTGAACAAAGATTAGCGAAAACAAAAGCACATAGTTGGAACTTTGAGCTTTCAAATACTTTGAAAAGTTTTTAAGATAAATAGTTCCTCTTCAAATCAGCTGTTTCAAAAAGAGATTGGCAAAATGTGCATTAATTATGAGACAGGCTAATTGAAGAGTCACCGGGATGGCATAGAAACAATACAACACTCCGCCTATGCATAGGGACGAAACGAGTTTTCAGGACATAATTATTATGAATATAAACATTATTTGACATTTATTATTACTGGATTTACAAAGCAAAAAGTCTGTCGTTCTTATTATCGTGAGATTACGGTTGAGATAGCGCGTTAGCGCCAATAAAGAGGCTGCTAGTTTAGGAAAGTTCCAAAGGTTTCGAAGAAGTTCGTTGCGGGATTTTTGGAATACCCGATTTTGTAAACATTGCTTTATAGGGCTATAAGAAAGGGATAATCCGGCCTGAGTGCGAAACGAATTTGTGCACAAAGCACAAATTGTATGAAATTACACATTCGCACTTACTTTTTGGTAGCTTAGCTCTTGTTGATCTCATGGGCTTTCAAATTTTAGTAGACAAAAGCTCACAAAGCATTTAACGTATTCCTACAATGGTACATATTTGGGGCGTTTTGAATCCTAATTACAAACTCAAGGAAAAGCCCTGCCGTTTACTCCATCGGAACATAGCCGCACGTCATGTACTTACTCTGTTGAAGTTGTCCATGATATGCATGGTAAATGCTCTTCCTGAACCGCAGCATTGTCGTGTGCACCAGTTTGATTTTTCCGTAGCATGATAAATCTGCAAGACGTAAGGCTTTTGAACATCAAACATTGAAAAGAGTTGCATAACGACTTATGCTAGAGAGATAAAGATTGTAAATTGAAGAAAGTAGAACCTTTTGTCCATGGGAATTTTTCAGAGAGTACATGTTCTTGGTCTCGCATCCAGTGAATGTTTCAAAACACTCGGAATGCTGAAAAGGCTAGCATTGTATAAATCGTGCAGTAATTGAACATAAAAATGCAAGATTACAACGTAGTTGTAAATTGATGGGCAACATCCAGTTTATAACTTCCTACTCTATCAAAAAAAATAATCAATTAAAACAGATTGATTCCATTTTGACTAGAAATGCTCTTAGAGTATGACATGAAGCCCTGCCTGATGAATAACAATCTCATCAAGCATGGTCAAGTATTCCAGACCGGGAGGTATGTCCTCATGTATTGACTTTGGTAACCATAAAGCAGCTCCATAAAGAAAAGAGGCTGTTCCTGCAAGGATAAATTTGCTGCCGCGTGAGCCAAAAAGTCGAACAGTCTTTATAACCTCACACCTGCTCCTGGTTGAGTTGTGATCACAGGAGGAGTCATAGAAAGAGAAGCGTCTGTGTATGCGAAGACCATGCTCAGCGCTGCTCATAAAAAATTCGAAGCGTAGCGGTTTGCTTTGTGAAGGTGGGTACGCAATCATTCGAGGTTTGGCAGCAAACTTTTAACGATCAATCCTTTGGTGTTCGGACAAAATGTAAAAATAGATTATCAATGAAGTGTCGCGATAAGAGTTACGCAGTGTCATAATTCTGTTTGGATAGCTGTATGACAGAGTACGGAGATAGAACTTGCCAAATTATAACGGCAATCAAGTTTTGTTAATAATGATATTAACAGAACAGAGAATCAAGGCTTACATTTAGAGTAGCTGAGATTCGAGATCACTCTAAAAGCAAAAATGCCTGTCTCATTCTGTATAGGTGTTCTTCGGGGTCAAGTCAGCTAGTTTTTACCGGGGGGCTCGCTGACGCCCAAAAACATGGTCTTAATAAATTTTAGAGAAAGCAAGATTCTAGGAAATTGGACAAAGCGCTTTTTCCTTCGCTTTGCTGGTCTCTATAATCGAATGTCTATCTTCAGTATGGCAGGGGCTTCGGTATCTGTCTTTCGTTTCTTTTTGCATAACTCTACTTCCTTCTGTGACTGAGGATTGGTTGGTCTTTTGTCTTTTCTTTAGTGCCCAGATTTTTTTGTTCTATTTCTGTCTTCTTATTGGTACACCATGAGTGTATATATAAAACAAAATAAATAAAAGACTAAAATCTGTATGATAAAGCTGAACCTCTGTTTGTCTGTCTGCATATCTGTATTTCTATCTGTCTGCTTGTGTGTATACGGTTCCGAATAGAAATTTTTATTTCTGAACCGATCCGGACCAAACTTGATACTTATACACATCGCGGTGGCTGTATAAGTTACCTTCCGTCATTGATCAATATCGATTTCAACGTTTTTTAATAAAGTTTAACATAGGAGGCTGGGAGTTGGCACAGGGCGGTAAATGAGCATGCTGATTACAGAATATTATTAGCAGGGCCGGGCAGAGCTTTGCAAGCTAGTTGTCGGTAAAGTGTAGCTAAGTGTTGGTGTATTAAACTAAAAAAAGTGGCCAATTAAGAAGTCAAAGAAGACTTTGTTGCAAATCAATCATTCTCAATGATTGAGGAGACGAGATTTGGCAGTTGACACTTTGCATAGGGGTCATATTACCTGATACGACAAATCAGGTTGGCAGATAATCTCTCAACCTTTTATTTGATTCTTGAAAATCTCAGAAACTTCCGAAAGATCTTACACGGCATATATGCTACTAGCGGGCAAACCCGGTTCCAGTCCTGTCAGTAATCTAGTATATAAAGAATCGTAAGCGCAATTCAAAAATGTGCACATAGCGGGGAACCACGTGGCGGTCCCGTAGCGTGCGCATGCTACTAGCACCTTCAATTGCTGGTTCACTAGTATATTCGTAATCAGCATGCTGACTTACCCCCTGTGACAACTCCCAGCTCCGTAGCTCCAACTTTGCAAAAAATCGATAAAATCTACATTCATCGATAACGAAAAGTAGCCTATGACACCCGCCCCGCTCCGAAATGTATGTGTGCCAAGTTGTCTGGATCGGTTCAGAAATGGGAACATACGTACAGACGGACATACACACAGACAAATAGACCTTAAGTTCTATACACAAGAAGATACATTAGCAGTTAAAAGATCTATTCGTCGGTACCGTCGCATCCACTGTGCTTATTCAAAACCTATTTGAAGTCCGTTTTGTTCGCATTTTTTGAATGGGTTAGCATTCTTCCAGCGAAATGCGGATTGATGATTCCAGTGTGACGAGCGAGAGAGGACAAAGTGCTAACCGGACACAGGGCATAGTCTACAGCGTTTAGCAAATATGGGGGAGGGGATAACACAGATATTCTACACCTAGGCTGTCTTTGCAGTCAAGGTTTTTCTAAAAAAATAACTTCTTCAAAAAATCTAAAGATTATTTTCAAGTTTTCTTTATTGCTTTCTATTCAAAGCAAAAAATTCTGGAAAGTTTTGAAATTCTCGATATTTTTACCACTTCTGGCCTATAAGGCAGGGCTTGCCAGCTAGTCTACTTATATACTGAAGCAGAAGATGGATAAACAAATTACCAGCGAGCTTGTGAGATTATTAAGCTGCATCTTGATAAATGCTGTCCTTTCGTACGACACAGAAAACTCGAGCGGTTTTCTTATTACAATAACACAATCATACTTTTAGTTATTGATAAGTGACTGATAAGTGTTGTGATAAGTGATAAGAGATTACTGGTAATTATAAACGACTAGCTGGTGGCCCCGTCTCACTCGAGACTTCAAGTTAGTTAAGCCAACAGAACTTGTAAACTTACGCCTCTAGATTTCTTCTAACATGCGCATAAAGCGCTTTCAGACTAATTGCCGCACCCTACCAACTTTAAAAGTGAAATGGACTTTACCGCCCCTGCTTACATGCTTATATGTAAAAATGATCGGTTGCCATGATGGCCCTTCATTTTCTTAGGTTTGAGTAAACAAATCAATAATCGATAGAATGGCCCGGCGAATCGCCACGGAAAGTAGCTCTAAAGCATCGCCGGGGTCGAAAATATACGCGTGCGAAGTTTCAGCCGAATCGGTTCAGTGGCGCGCGTTTCTATAACGAACGAACAACTAAACGAACATCCTCACAGACATTGAGTTTTATATATATAGATTGCTGTTACTGATTACTGAATGATGATCCCTAGAAAGCTTGACTTGGTTTGGAGTTATACTTGAAACGCGGGAATATATGTACGAAAACAAGTGGCCAGTTGATTCATTTTCTAATATTCTCTTCCATATCACTATGAACAGACACTCATTGTCGTGGGAAAGTTGTGCTTGGGGCAAACTTGATTTGGGAATGACTTGCGTTGGAAGCATAACCTCATATACTAATAAGGGAAGGATACCAACATTAGTCGGTGATTGAAGATGAGATGTCTATCAGTAGACGCGCCGTTGAACGCTGATTCCAAATCTGCTTTCCTTTTTGCGGAATAAGTTTCCGAAAGAAGTTGTGAAAGTTCAAATGTCCAAATTTGTCATGATTAGGTGGCCTAAAATTGGCGAAAAGCTGTATAAAACGGAAAGTGGAAAATCGTTCTTGTATCGAGTATCTTGTTTCCAAGGAAGGAACAAAGCTGGTGGAAATCGCACAGGTGTCGTTTCAGAGCTTTTAGCTGATTTTAAGCCGCTCAGTGCTTGGCAATTCTGGCCATTCAAACGCTCACAACTTCTTTCAGAAACTTATTCCGCAAAAAAGGGAAGCAGATTTGGAAAGCGTTCAAAGGCGGATCTAATGACATACATTTCATTTTCAATTGCCAACTAATGTTGGTATCCTTCCCTTGTAAGCTGTCTCTATACAAACGGTTATCTGATAAAACTTGGCTCTTCACAACATTCCTCATGCGAGATGAAACATAGGTAGCATGAAATGAAACGGTATAGAGATAAGTTAAGCACGAAAACACAAAATCAATAAAGGCACCAAGTACATCATACTCACCTTAACTTGCCTAATGACTGGATGAACAAATATAATACATCACAAATACTTTAATCTGACAAGGAACGACACGTTGCAAAGCGCGCGGTGGTAACCGCCGTCACAAGGGAGGAGCTCTTCAAAGATAACTTTCAATCGCTCTTAAAACCAACATTCTTTCCTTAAAGGCTGTGGATCGGCAAAATCCAACAGCTCAGAATTTTGACGCGGTAGATTCCTTACCGCTTAAGTATGAAAACAGTGCAATCCCGGTTGCACAGCATGCTTTCCCTGCCGAGAAAATCGCTCTCAAACTTACACGCACAGGCCAATCTCACACGCATCTAGACGAGTTGGCAATTTCCTTCTCACCATTGGAGGCTGCCCGCCGCAACGCTATAACCATTGGGTCCTGCAACGTTTCGGCGTCATCGGCCTTGCTCCACTCGTCCAATCCCAAAGGGAAGGGCATTAAAAAACGCTTATTTTCGCCGTTTTCAAGGTTTCAAAAGTGGATTTTCGGGGTCAGCGTATTGAAAAACCCCAGGTAAGCGCAAATTTGACTAGGTTGAGATTTGCCGAGCCACTGCCCTTAGAACATTTTCTGGAGGGCCGTCACACAAAAGCGGCAAAGCTCCCATCATTCGCCTCCATTTACATATCTAGAGCACCAATTAGCAAAGTACTGACTGGTTTCACCACAAAAAATTGCACTTGACTCCTTTAACACCGAGGTTCAATGGTCCGGCTTCCCGGTATATGAAAGCTGAAGCTGAGAAGTTAGGGTTGTTTCATACTGCCGCACTGACTGCAGCAGTCTGCAGCTGACTGCACTGACTGCTGCACAGTGCAGCAGACTGCAGCTGACCGCACTGACCGCAACGGCCGCACAAACGCTGCATGCTTTCGTAAAAGAGAAAACAATTGCGATTACGTCAAAACACCGTGATTTAGGGCTAGGAAGTTGATAGGTTCTAAATTACTCTTTTCAATCAAATTTTGGCGACTGCTGTTATTGGTACGCTTATATTTGTTCTGATTCTCCCTTTATTGCATATACCTGTTTTACTCTCGTTCGTGTTGTCTTTTGGATCTAGGCATATATAGTTGTTGATTGTTTGGGCTACAACTATTTATCCTCTCCACCTTCACGAAAGGATACAGCGATCTGTGCGGCCCTTGCGGTCAATGCGGTCAGCTGCAGTCAGCTGCAGTCAGCTGCGGTCTGCTGCAGTTTGCTGCTGTTAGTGCGGCAGTCTGAAACAGCCCTTAAATCTAGATGATGTCGCGCTCAAGTTTGTCCTCTCAGGCTCTCGACCTCTGCGGGATCGGTCCCGCGATTTATCGAAAGGCCTCTGTGACGGCATGTGAGATTCCTTCTCCTGCAGTCTTTCATGACTTGATCGTTTTTCCGTCGGTTTCTTTACTTGCTCCAAACCCTTTCTTGACTTGCTTCTTCCTAGAGTAGCTTTTTCATGCTTTTTTTCTGCCACTTTATCTCGCATTTTAAATGATCGATGATCAATCGTTGTATACATCTTTTCAGCGTCATAACTGATAATATTGATAACCGATTATTGACGGCGATGATTAGAATCGCTGAACAATGATGATAATGATAAAACATGAAATTACATTTCGGTGA